GCCATTGTTCAGAGTTGAATGTGGACCAGACACTTCCTACCTTGTCAAATCCAAAAGCTTGCAAAAGTCACATTTTCGAAGGAAAAATGTGTGCAGTATTCCCGAGTGCATTTTGTCAGCTGGATTTCACTCTGACACAACAGGTTTTGGATGTTTTCACAGGTCTCCTCTATTTCGAGAAAAGCCTCGTCTGATTAGATTTATTTTGTTTTCGTACAAAAACTAATGATGAACAGTGGCCTCCCGAAAGTGACACCAAGTGCTGAGATTTTAAGGTCAAGCAAAGCTTTCCATAATGGTATACCTTAAAAATATTATCCCCAAATTTTATATATATATATATATATATATATATATATATATATATGTGTGTGTATTTATGTATAGACACTCACTGTAATTAATAACTCAATCAATCCAAATCTGGCAAAAATTTGTGTTATGTTGTCACCACACGAATGTAAAGCAATGATAGTGTGTGCGTGTGTGTTTGTTTTCTTGTCTGAGTTGCATTTTCTGGTAAGGTAATACATCTGACATTTTGTTCGTTTTTGCTTGGAAAATGACGTGTTTTTTTTTTTTCTTCCCCTGCCTGGGAGCTTCTTTGTGAGTTTCATCCATTGATCACTGCAGGGAAGTTCCAAATAAAAGAGACATTCCACCATAATGACTTCTTCTTTGGCACATCACCAGTGTGTTTGGTAATAAGATAAGTGTGCTAATGGACAATGTTTTCTAATTATATTAACTGTTGGAATGACGACTTAAGGAGCACGACGACACAATTCTCGTGCTGTCATCGTTTCAAAGTACACCGTTGAAGTATTTTTACCAGGGAGTGTGTTGAAAACTTGAGCTGATGTCTCGACGTGGTAATTAGCGGCAGGCGGAAAGTGCGCGAAACTCGAGGACACAGCACGTACACCTACAAGCTCTCTTCTCCACTTTCAACCAATGCCTCCATTGCTTCTGAATGTTGCCTGGGGGTCATTCCCCGTGTTTTTTTTTTTTTTTTTTTTTAATCTCTTTGCTTCATCACTTCATATTCAGCCCCGCGGGCTTTGCAGCACAGAGGAAATGAATGACACAAACCAGGCGGCGGTTTCATCTTCTACTTCAACTCTTTTTCAGTCATATTTGCCTCCATATGCTCATTCAAAGATGACTATTGAGGATGAAACCCAAAAAGGAAATGTGTTGTGTCTCTCTGGGAAAGGATGCGGTGAGAAGGTATGCAAAACATCCATCACTTTTGAGGACCCATCTGAGTTTGGTCTCATTCTCATCTCCAATACAGCATTTGCCCGCGTGAGGATATGGACGGTGGTGATGTACGAGCTTCTTGTTCGTCCGTGTCACCGTAGCGATGAGCCGCGGCTTTGCGAGGACCTCTTTCCCACCGTCCCTCGTGGAAGTGCTACTCGTCGTAATTGGCTAAGGAGCACAGATGCTAAATGGCAAAGTGAAAAGTGAGATTAATGTGGTATTAGGTCAAAATCTATTATGTAGTTTTCATTTATCACCTGAGCTGCAGCCCCGAGGAGTCACTTTAAACACACTCCATTGTTTGCTGTGTAGAAGCGACCCTGAATGGAGACAATTAAAACCAAAGTCACTTAAGTGCAGATGGTGGGAGATATCTATCACCGGCAAATTACAGCAGTTGTGTCTCAATCAATTAGAAGAACAGAGAAAACTTCATTTATTTCAGTACATTGGTACCTTGATGTACAAATGACCCAAATATTTAGTTTTTCTTTTTTAGTCATGAATAGCATGCAGAAATTGGCAGATAGTTAACAGTTCTTCTTCTTCTTCAAAAAAAAAAGAGGCCGATCCCAGTTGAAGTTTACTTTTGAGCTCAACATAAAACTAATTGAATTACGATTTAGGTATTTTACCAAACAGCATAACCTTTCCTTCCAAAAGTTTCCCAGCTCAATGCTTACACATAAACCAAAATGCCATAGACGGGCTGACCAAACTGGCCTTGTTGTCACAGTGGCTGTAACCCTTTACCCTTAATATTTGAACTCCAATGGTTCAGCAACACATGTAGACAGACAATATACAGTAATCGGGCTGGGTGACAATTCAACACCAATATGTAATTGCGATAGACAGGTGATCAATGAAAATAGAAAAAAGATTTGATAGAATGCTTGATACAATAAATAAATACATAAATCTGGAAGAATCTGAAAGGCTTTCTGCGGGGTGCAGGCAGAGACTGCAGTATGGCGTTAGACTTGTGCCACAATTACAAGCACGTAGGAGGACATTTTTAGCGCAAAAGCGTGTTTTGAGCGCACAACAACAGTTTTTGTGAGATTTGTCCGACGATAGTGAACATTTTAACATGCAAACAATAAACTCCGTGAACTGAAATAATAACAGTTGCGAGTCTATTCAAGGGAGGAGTTCATTTGTCATAGCTGAGGCACCCAGCAACTAATTGGGGCGCGGTGTCAGTTAAAATGAGGGCCACTTTTTGAGGAAATGCGGGAAATGAATTTTGACAAACAGGCATGGCAGTTTTTTTCTAACCATGCCTGCAGAAGCGGAATTGATTGCACATAACAACAGAAAATGAATGTTTACTCAACAGGTCGGAAGACTTCCAGAAAATTGCACATTGGCGCTTGGAAAGAAAAAGTTGTCATTGTCAACAAGAAGTGCATGAAATTGGCGGGTGATTGAGGTTTAATAAGAATGAAGTGCTGTGTGTCTCCACTTGATGACACATGCTAGAACTTGAGTTATTTATGATTTTTTTGGGAGGAGGATGAAGGCAGTGTGGAGATAGATGTTGTGCTTGTTTTTAAATATCCAGAAAACCATGTAAATTCTAAATTCAGGGGTATACAATTAATTTGATTGATTGTTTGGAAACCTGTCAACGTGGGATTCAAATGTGACTAAAACTAATCAGCATTTTTGCTCAAAAGACTACGACTAAATCTAAAAAGGCTCCAAAAAACAACACTGGTCACTTGAACATCATCGCATAAATAATGTTACCGTGAACCCGTTACTGTGATGCATTTAGGGGATATCAAGTCTTTTCACCTAACAGTTAAAATCATACTATAACGAACGAGGAAAAGAAAACTATAAAAAGGAAATGCATTGGCCCGGGAATTAAGACTGCTGCCAAAAATAATCTCTCGGTGCTGCTTGAAGCCATCCTGACTGAAGAATCCTTTACTTGATCCATTACAAGGAATAAAAGACTTTGTCCTCAAAAACAAGACGGAACAGACTGTATTTTACCTTTTTCCTCAAAGACAGACACGCACTGATCCACTGCCAACCCTCTTCAGGAAATCTGCCACCGTTGTAAATAATTGATCCTCCAATATCCAGCATCCCGACGAGGTGATTAAGCTGCCCCTCTGATGGACGGCTGAAATGTGCTCCTATGTCTTGCGGCCTCGGGTCATTCCAATCACCTCTGGCTCACGCTTTTTCAGAGCCTGTCTTTTTCGCAACTTTTATTTCCCTAATTACCGCACAGCAATACGGGTCGAACATATTAATTAACGTCTGACAACAACACTCCGTACAATGATTCAAGACGTTAAAAAAGCTTCTTCAATTGCAGTGCCGACTATTAAAAAAAAAAGCAATGCTATGTGCAGCTGCTTTCCAACAATGGGTCATTAGAAAAGGCATTTATGCTTAATTAATTGCTTAATTTACCACCGTGTTTTGCATAAGGCATTCAATCAATGCTGCTGGAGATCTAGATCTTGTTTGTTGATATTATCTTTAGCATGGTATAGCTTTCGCTATGAAGCAATTGGGTGGAATTTATTCTCTTTTGTGAGTCTTAGTATTATTTCGTCAGAGCATTTAAGGACATTTTTCGAGTGTGAGTAAGGTTCAGGCTAAAGAGATGTGCTTTCTGAGTCCCCGAATGACTTAACAGTCTGTTATGGGTAGGCGGTTGGATCCGGGGAAGTTGGTAAGGCAGGCGGTTGGTTATGGAGCTCGACGGCAGGTAGAGCGCGTGAAGGCAGACAAGTTGATGTTGCGTAGGCAGGCTGTTGAAGGTGCTGGGAGTCCTGACAGCTACTTCCATCATTAACTTTCTGGCTGTACCTTTACACAAGTATAAAAGGTGAGAGAGAGAGAATTGCTTTTTCGTGATTTCTTATAGGTCTGAATATCATCAAATTCTAATCAAGGTAGTAGAGTGCAATTTTCAAATCACGAAGGCTGCATTTTGAAAGGGGGAAAAAACCTGTCACATCTTTCTATGTCAATATTCAGGAGTGCCTTGAGATATGAGTGCCTCGATTTAGTACTTAAAACACCCACATAGCTTAGACTTTCAGTCCCACATTTGTTCTGGGTCTTGAACTGTTTAAGCAATGGACTGAGCACAAACGGTGGAGCAATGCATGTAGACAATGCAACTGTACTCACAGTCATATTCTTTATCATCTGTGTAGAACGACCAAGAATATTGTAGCGCCATTATGATTAAGACAAGTAACAGTTTGCTATTGCCATTCAATTGATGCGGTTTGACAAAAACTGTTTATTTCTCAATTTTGCTATTCTTCCTCATGAAAATACGCATTGACTTTTTGTTGTTTTTTGGGGGGGTAATGCTCTACCATATTAATGGCATGATCATTCTTTTCATTGGGAAAAGATGATTTGAGATACGAACGTTTTAAATTGTGCGTGTGGTCACGAATCAAATTAAACTCATATCTCAGGGCACCGCCGTTTTTCTTAGATGAAACTGGGGCATGGTACAAAAAAAAACATCCACTCACCATCCAATCAACTATCGTTATGCATCCATTTATTATCCATACCTTTTCCTCACGTGAGATCGCAGGGCGCACCATCACACTGGCACTCTGACATATAAGAACATGTCGAGACAGGATTTCTGTAAATAATGTATGTACATATGTGGAGTCACCCTTTCGCACCCAGCATAGATAATTTATACTCTTCAATTACCTCCAAAATGCAAACTCCTAATAGCAGACACCATAAACCAATGGTCTCACTTAATATGGGCGACGGTTTTATTTTCTTCAGCTCACAGAATAAACAGTACAGCAGATTCAACCTTTTCCTTGACAGTAATTATACAGGCTTCAGAGAAAAAGTAAAGAGTGACCGTCCAGCATATACCAAAGCTGTTAATGTTGTGGGGAGCGCACAAATTTACGTACTGCTGCTTCTTCAGTCAGTCCAGTGGAGTGTCTCTCCAGCGCTCGCATCCTTTGTGGAAACACCGACAGAGTTAATTTCTGCAAAGCTGCTTTTGTACTGTCGAAATTGCAGTCTGGAGCCTTGGGAGTCTTGCGGTAGGTATTATTTGCGACGATTGCTTTGGATTTCCTGTTCCTGCTGAGGCGTGAAGAGTGCTTGTTCTCCAGCCATGGAGCTGGTGTGCACCCTAATTCACACAACATATTACAACCCACTATTGTACGTCTGCGGAAGCATCGCTGTAATTGGAATAAAGGCCTGACTTACAGTTTGAATGCAGTCTGTTCTCCCCGTGAGACGTTCCGATGATTGATGACAGGCGCAATGCCTACGTTCGGCTACATCCGAAAACCCACCTCTGCCATTGAGAGCGTGGTTGATGACGTGTCATTGTCATCCTCTTGGGCTCATACGCTAGAGTGGCTGTGGGCCTCTTGTAATTGGAAGGTTACCACTTTTGGCCCACAGCTTCGCTAGAGAACGAGACAAAGTGCCCTTGAGTCTAAATGCCGGTTGGGCCGTACGGGGGCAAGCCTACGCTCGCCATTCATCGTTGCACTGTATCATATTGATGTGATTCTGATGTATAGTTAACCTCCTAGCTGCAGTACAGAAAATGATAGAGTTTTAGAAATACCTCTAAATTTGTTGGAATGCAGTTCCGGATTAGCACTTGGCAGCATGGCGTACGAATGGTTAGCATGTTGAGTTCCAGGTTCATATCTCAGCTCTCCCAATGGTTTCCTGCGGTACAACACATGATCTCTCACGGCGCACTTATTGGGAATCACTGGTCTACAGTATGTGTGCCCAGCGTCTGGTTTACGAACAGTCCAGGATGTACCCTGCCACTCATCCAAAGTCAACTGGGATCGATTTCCATCCTAGCCGTGCCCTTCAAAAGGAAAATCGCCATAGAAGAAAGATGGAATACTGCTCTAAGTGCAGTCTTTTACCAAGGCCAAACTATTCTCCACAGGCCGAAATTTGTTATTAAAATTCATACATTATTCACTGAGAAATAAAGGAACTTTTTCCCCCAAAACTGTTCATGCAATGTTTAAAAAAAAAATCTGAATTTAAAAAGCTATAAAAGTTGTTTCTTTAGCATTATAGAATTCCAGTACCGTTTGAAACAAACTCGAGTCATTTGTCATATGTGTACTCCAGTATGGACTAAATCGAGCAATCCGAGACCAACCACAACTTGTTATGGCTCCGCAAGAAATTTCTGCAAATCAGAGCCTGTTCTGATCCGACTGGCAAATTAACCAGCCAAATTTGGCTCTTCTACCCAGTGACGACCCAGTCCAATCGAAATGTGCATTTAAGGAAATGTGGCTCGTCAGTAAAACGGGATTAATTGCACTCTCCCACTCACTGGGGTAATAAACATTGCATCGGGTGCAGTCGAAATGACTCTTCATTCTTTGAGGATAAGATAGTTTAGTTATAAAATCAATACCAGCTCCATTGTTCTTGATTAAACGTATTTGTTATGTTGTGGTCTGGCAGGAAGTAAAAGCACTTAAGATATTTGGGGGTTATCTGGACATGGTTCATCTAAAAACCATCGAGGAGCTTGTAATGATTACTGCTGCGGTTTTGTAAGGTTGGACGCATAATTTTATTTCATGTATCTATTTAACAGTCTCGAAACATAGTGTAAGCAATAAAAGTGATTGATGGGGCAAGGTCACAGAGGATGAGAGGCCACTGTGTTAGCCAACTTTTTTTTTTTTTTTTGCTGATATCATGGTGTACTGTGCATGGAATAATTCCAAAATAGTTGTTGTTGTGAATCAAGTTTAAAGTGGCAGGATCCCAGCAGCCTGTGCATGTTTAGTGTAACTTCAAAATGGGATTTTTCATGATTTTAAAGAGTTTTGGGAGATTTTGGCATGATAGTTAAGAAATAGTTTTTTTTAACGAATCAATTATGGCAGCGATTATTGCATCAAATACTCAGGTATTGATAGATGTTTTTTTTTTGGGGGGGGGGGTTCCGACAGTCTGCAAATAACATTGAAGTTTGCAAAAGTTAATATATACTGTATATTAACACTGTACTAACTTCAAATTCAACATACATACAAATGGCACTGTCTAGACCAGTGATGGGTAACATTCTGCAAATAACATTGAAGTTTGCAAAAGTTAATATACTGTATATTAACACTATACTCACTTCAAATTCAACATACATACAAATGGTACTGTCTAGACCAGTGATGGGTAACATAATAAAAATAGCACACCTACCATTTACACCTCCATTTGAGAAGAAAATCAAGCTCATAATGACCTTGCGACCATACCAAAGTTCTAACAAATGTATACGAAGATGTGTTCAGTCACACACGGCAGTTTTTTTTTTCCTTCACACTAACTGTTGTTAATTGGTTTTAAGTTCCGATGTCAATTACTGTGGAAAATGGATGGATGGACATTTTGTCTGATAAAAATATATACTGTATTCAAAATGTGAACAAACTGAAGGTGGAGCAGCACCCTGAACCAGATAAGCTTTCACTGTATATAATTTGCAATCAGTTGTTAGATGTGCTGTGTTCCAAGACTGGCTACATTATGAAAGAAATGCATTTCAGACACTGGGTGGCTATTATGGACTTTTTGCCAACTCGCTCATTTGACCCAGCATGGCCCAAAATGCTTTTGAAAGCAAGAGGCAGGCATCATGTAGTGCTATCATTTCTATCATAATTCCCCATTACAGTTTTTCTGGACATGGCCACTTTTACTGTATTTCCCGTCTGAATGATAATGATGATGATGACCAGAGAGCTGGGAGAAAAGCCTTCTCTACCCTCTGTGAACTGGGACGGTGTTTCTGGAAAAGGCTGAAAACTGGAAAAGTTGTGTGTGTGCAGGAGAGTGATGGGATGTGAGGGTCCCATGGCAGCATGCAATGCTCTCAGTGTCTTCAGCCTTGGCATTATGTGATGCGATTGTGATGTTGATGCTGCGTGATTTCCACTGCCAGCTTGTGTACTCGCGTGGCTTCTCTCGCCGTATTATTAATTCAGAGATACGCCTTCCCTTCTCCGCTGTCTCTCGGACAGAAAGCGTGCAGTGGGGGGTGAGGGTGGGGGTTGTTAAAAAGGAGAGTGTAATTAGGAAGGAGGATTTCCACCATGGTGGTAAATGGAGTTGTGCTGTCATATTACAATGTCTAATTGGTCTCAAATGACAAGAAGAGCAGTTAAAGAAAGCGCAGAGTCACTCGCCAACATAGCGACTCATTCAAAATTCCCGTCCGACCTATTCTCCTCATCCCACCCCACTTGTCCAATTATTGTGCCGTTTTCTGATGCATGAACCGTCACTTGATTTGAATTTTTCTCTCGTCGAGCCACTCGTGTCCTGATACGTTGCTTCAAAAAGGATCGCAATTAAATAACAGTCAGTCCCCTTTCGCTACATCTGCCAATTAGCAATTAGCACTGGAAGCTATTGTGATTCAAATGATTACAGATGTCAAGCAATGGAATACACAAAATCGAAACATAATCTGGAGATGAACAATCTTCAAATGTCAGTGATCGTCATGCAGGTTTGAATCGATTGTCTTTATAAAAAGTCTACACACCCCTGTTCAAATGTCAGGTTTTTGTGAAAAATGAGACAAAAATCAATCCGTTCAAAACTGTTCCCATTAATTTGACCTGTAACATATACAATTTAAATGACGTAAATTATTTTGGGCGACCGGTAAAAATAAATATCAGGTAATGTGGGGGCGCAAGTGTGCACGCCCTCTTATGACTGGGATAGTGGCTGTGCTTAGAATCAACCAATCATATTAAAACATAAACTTAAAACTTAAATGGGGCGCACACCCGCCACTGTTGAAAATGCCTCTAGTTAACCCCAAATAAAGTTCAGATGTTCTATTACGCTTTTTCTGACATTTTGTTTTTGCTTTCTAGATGAAGCCTCAGGGATTTGTGCTGAGATTGACTGATAGTTCCATCAATCATAACAAAGTTAGATGATTTGTTATTAAGGTCCGACTGATTAATTTGCACTTATTAAATCGAAAATTCGCCAATTTTTGCCCAAAATTTTTTCTACTCTAAGGTTAAATGGCTACAAAAGGATTTTTTTAATGAATCGGCCAATTAATTGCGAAATTTACCATAATTCTTTATCCTTTCCCTAATTTGTTCCTGTGAACCTTTTTAAATTGTGTAAGAAATGCAATATGCCTCCTTTAAAGTCTTATATTTGTAGAAATTAGCACAAAGAAATGATTTTTTTTCTACAGCTTCACAAATTGTCATTTTGCGGATTATTGGCGTCAACAGATTTGTTTGATGTACCAGCCCGTGCAATATTTCTTCAGCTGTGTGACATTGTTCGTCTTTTCTTTGTTTCCCACAATGAAGGATGAGATGTTTCTCCTTTGAAGGACAATTTCCCCTCCTGTTGTTATCTGCTCTCGGTACAAGCACTCTCTGTTTGCCCGTCATGTGAAGTGCTCGCGACGGCGGCGTCCTGACAACTAAATGAAAGGTCCCATCGTTCTTCACGTTTGCTCCCGGGTGACACTCCTCGTCCCCATTCCGTCACCATCAAAACGCCCCAACACGAAGTAGAGAATCTCAAAAACGGTCCATTACTGACTGCCACGGGGATCGCAGACACCATTAAGGGATGGTATCGGTTACAAATAATGCATGTCTGCAGTCTTATTCTTATCTATGTGGGAGGAGCGGCACAGAGAAGGGATGTGTGTGAATGTGGAGATGCGTCGAAGAGACCGCACATACACAATAACGCCAGCCAAGGACATCTCCTCGCTGAAGAGATGATGAAGTGAGGATTGGAGCGAGATAACCCTGACGTAAAGCATTTGAACACCTGCGCGAACAACCCACACAAGCCTGCAGAGCAGAGCAAAGCTCACCGTAGTCTGTGGTTGCTTATGGTGCGCCATTATTTTTCGCATTCTTTATCGGTCACCAATTGAAAAATAGAGGTTTTATTTATTCCTTGCCCATGCCTATAATTCAACACAATCATATCTCAAATTATGTTCCAGCATCCCCCTCGCCCCCAAAACAAACATTTGGAGTGTGTTTTTCTTAACAGGAGAAATAGAATAGAATATCAGACCATATGAAAACATCCAGTAACGGGATAATTAAATAGAATCAAGATGAATTCAAAACAAAAAAAAATTGTCACACTTTCCCATTTACTTCAATGCGCATTGAACCGCTCATTCTATTGTGTGCTCTTTGGCCACTTAATTCATACATATTTCAGCCAATCATATTGCAGCGGGGTGTGTCCTTGCTACAACTCAATTGTGATTTGTGGTCGTTCTGCACAGAGGACAAATAATACAGTATATGACCGCTGTCATATTGTCTGTCTACGGGTGTTGCTCTACCATGTATGCTCAAATATCAATTGCTTAATGAAATAGCATTAACTCATGTC